CGTTTGCGTGTTGCGGTGGAAAATTACCTCGGGGGTGAAGCACGTCAAAATGCAGCAACACAACGAATCTAAAATGGCATTTAAAAAAAACAAACACCTGATGGAGTTTGGCTACATTGAGGCTCAAAGCAGGAAAAAAGGACATCCGGATCCAGACAGCAGGTAAAGCAGTGCACAGCTACCAACACTCACCGGATTAAAGTGACGGTCAGAAAGCTAAACAAATAATCCAAAAAATAATTCAAGTCTTCGAGCTGGTTCTGCTCTCGCTCTTGGACCGCCACTAAACACTACAGCTAGTAAGTAATATTTCACAGACGGAGCGCCGCTCATCCTCCACCCAGCAATGAACTCTCACACCAAACAGCTGCTTAGACCTGCAGCATGTAGCTTAAAAAAAAGATGTTAGATATGTACTAAAATATGTCTATTATGTCTAAATTAGGTGAATTTATTGCCAGATAAATTTTCCATTTTGCTAGATAACATAGTGCAAAAAATGAACAGCCATTCCAGGCAATCGGCAGAGATCGGCCTCATGGATGATGGGTATCGGAATCGGCAGCAACAAACCTGATGGGAGCATCCTTCAGGAAGCCTGAAGTTGTGAAGGAAAAGAATCTTAAAGTTTAAACCCAGTAAACTGCATTAGCTAAGTTGAGTGCATTAATTCACTGTTTTCAGACCTAACATGGATGTTCTGTTACCGTATCAGATTCATTTTTTCTCAGCATATTAGAACACTTTTTAGATTTGTGTCCTGTGGAATAGGAAACCATTTCTCAGCTCAGTTAGTGATGTCAGAAAACAGGCTGCATTTTGTTGTAATTCTCCGTAAGCGTCCGGTCTGTTTTCTGAAGGCTGCTGAGTCGATTCAAGCGGAGGATGAGAGCGCCAAGCTGTGCAAGCGTCGCATCGAGCACCTGAAGGAGCACAGCAGCGACCAGCCGGGTTCAGTCAACCTGTGGAAGAAGAAACGCATGGACCGCATGATGGTGGAGCATCTGCTGCGCTGTGGCTACTACAACACCGCCGTCAAGCTGGCCAGGCAGAGCGGCATAGAGGTTCTGCATTTGCTCATGAAACAAACTTCATTTTCCTCATCCTGACTTTAATCTGAAAGGATCGACTCTGCCACCTTTCCAGGATCTGGTGAACATCGAGATGTTCCTCACAGCAAAAGAGGTGGAGGAGTCTTTGGAGAGGCAGGAAACAGCCACCTGCCTCGCCTGGTGCCATGACAACAAGTCCCGCCTCCGCAAGATGAAGGTACCTAGCATGCAGCATTTAACAGCAATACTCAGAAACCTTCATGTTCAGATGCAGGGTGGCAGTGAGGATGCTTTAGGTTTCTCTGAATACGGAATAAAAACATCAAAATAAACACTCAGGCTTTGCTTCAAGTTTCTCCTCATTTAGGTACTGTCAAAAAATTAAATAGTAATTATGTTTTTAAACATGGAAATGGACACAAAGTGGAGCTTTGAACGGACCTGAGGTCTATGGAGCCTCATTAGAGACGAAACTTTTACAGTACGGTTGAGATTTTAATGATTTATTTAACAAAAACTGGGTTTGAATTTATGTTTTAGATTTCTCTAACCCTCACAGATGTTCTGTAGCCATCAGCAAACTTCTGGCTCCTATCAGGGTTGAAGGTCTGGACCGGTCCAGAAGAAAGACGCTTTTTACTCTGTAGAACCTGGTACCACAGCAGCAGTGGGCTGACTGACCCAGTTGCCTAAAATAACGTGTTCCTCATGTTCATTTAATGATTTTTCAAGCTTTGGGAACTATTTAAAACTGTTTTATGGCTCTAATAGTTTTTGGTTTTGCAGAGCTGCCTGGAGTTTAGTCTGAGAATTCAGGAGTTTATTGAGCTCATCAGACAGAACAAGCGCATGGATGCAGTGCGGTAACTCCCACACTCTGTCACAACAAACCATGATTGATGTGTTGTTTTCCTTTTTTTCAAACTGTCTCCCTTATGTTTGCTCTCTCTGTGTTTATATCAGACATGCAAGGAAGCATTTCAGTCAGGCAGAAGGAGGACAGCTGGATGAGGTCCGGCAGGTGATGGGCATGCTGGCCTTCCCATCAGATACACACATCTCCCCCTATAAGGTAGCAGTCCTGGGCTTCATCACAGCATTACCAACTCATAAACACACTGCAGCTTCCACAGAGGTGCAAATATGTAAAGAAAATTACTGTAATACCAGTTTCCTGCCACCAGGAGGCGCCTGTTGTCTTTTAATAAGGTTGAACTGCATTTTAAGGACTACAGATTAACTTTGATTTGCTCTAGTTTTAAATCAAATGAGCTTTTTATTATTTTATAATCATGACAGAATCAATAAGGTGCACTTTGTCAAACTTTTTTGTTAAATGAGTGAAAATGGTAAACAGCTGTTACAGCTTCAATATGCAGGGTGAATGTGAACTGGACCTGATGTGAGTCGGGTCATATCAGGTCCAGAGAATAAAACTGATATGAGTCCATGACAGATTAGTGTAAACACAGTTTATAATTTAAGAAATCTGTTTGTAAAAATTCACAATTTAAAAAAAGGATTAACATTTTAATGATCTGTTTTTTATGGAGGACCAAAAGGGCCAAAATTAGATGAATGCATAGTTGAATCATCTTCAATTCAAGCTTTTATTAAAGACACAGTGTCCTGGTTCACAGCAGGAATGAAAAAATAAATACAATAAATAGAGAAAGGAGAAAAAATAATAAATATTAAAATAAATAATTTTAGTAGAAAATTTCTTTATTAAATATCACTAAAATGCAAACGTATAATGGATGATGCAGATAATTTATGTATGTATGTTGTGAACTCTGTTGAACTTCAATAATTTAGCCTAATTCTTTTTTTTTTTTTTACACTTTATCAACTTCATCTATTATGAATTTAAATTTTAATGATTTCCTGACATATTTCAACATCATATTAATGTTGAAACATTTTATCAGGTTTGTCCTGTTTTCAGGCCAGACATCATAAAGTTGTTAAAAATGTACTTTCATCTTGACCCACATCCAGTTTGAAGTAAACAGTAGAGAAAAAAAATCACATAATTTGAAAATATTTTATTATCTGAATTCTTTTTGTTTCACATGTTTGTTTATCCTGGTTCTGGTCCCTGATCGGTGAGGATGAGGTAGAGCCTCGTCTCCTGTGAAACCCGCCTCTCATCTCACAGAGACCACGTCTGAGTTTTGGGAACTTCAGAGGGAACTTTGTCTTGTTTCTGTTCCCATCAGGATCTTCTGGACCCGGCTCGCTGGAAGATGCTGATCCAGCAGTTCAGATACGACAACTACAGACTCCACCAGCTGGGAAACAACTCTGTGTTCACCATCACCCTGCAGGCCGGCCTGTCCGCCATCAAGACTCCGTATCCTTTACTGGCTTCCTGCAGACTTCCACACTGATCCACTCTAATTATCAGTTCACTCAGCTGGTAACGGCTCGTTTCTCAGGGATCAAAATAATACTTACTCGGACATTACAACATGAAAAACAGATTCTTTAAAGTGCAGTTTTGATGTGTATTTAGTTTGTTTAGTGAATGCTTTGTTATCTAAAGCAGAACCAGTTTAACCCTGTTCACACCACGACGATCCAGAGGATTTGGTTCACTGGCCTCAAAGGTTTTAGGTTTTTAATTTAAGTTTATGCAATTTCCTGGAAATGTTATTTATAAAATACTTTTGGTACAGGTGGAACTCATCGTGCTTTACTGAGTCTGAAAACAGACCCACTGAGGTTATCGGAATAACCAAATCAAGTCAACGTTATTAATAAAACAAAGAATTAAAAAGAAGGAAAATAAATGAGTTGTAGAAGACGAGAAGCAGAAAGATTAAAATAACATGAAAACACTGTAGTTAAGAGCATACATTGTAAATATAAGTCCTGAACAGCAATAAAATAAAACAAATAGTTACTGGAATATAATTGAAATGAACTGAACAATAAAACATAATAAAAATCTCTGAACTCATTATCAGATGTGTCTTTAGATGTTTTTAAAAGCATCTAAACTCTGATCTGCCCTCAGGAAGATGCAGGCGATTTGAAACCTTATGGAAGCGGCACAGAGCAGATCTGAGGTCAGATTTGTTCAGTTTTAGCAGCTGAATGAAACCAAGTTTCTCAGCAGTCTGAACGACCCAAAACCGATCTGTTCCACTGCCATACCAGGAACTAAATTATATCTGACACTTTCAGAGCGTCTGCAGTCTGAACGGCCATGTTGTATCTGAACTCTGTTGTTAGATTTTTGTTTTTATCAGCTTCCTTCATCTTGAACTTTAAAAACTTTGAAATCCGTCCATAGACAGCCTCAGCCGTCTTTACTGCTGTACACAGCTGGTCCTGGTTCTGGTTCCGTTCTTTAACTTGCCGTTTCAGTCAGTGCTACAAGGAGGACGGCTCCTCTAAAAACCCAGACTGCCCCGTTTGCAGCAAGTCTCTGAACAAGTTGGCGCAGCCGCTGCCGATGGCTCACTGCGCCAACTCCAGGCTGGTGTGTAAGATCTCTGGGGAGGTGATGAACGAGAACAACCCGCCCATGATGCTGCCCAACGGATACGTCTACGGCTACAACGTGAGTCCAGTCACAGCTGACAGAACTGCAGGCAAACGTTTGGCAGCAAACACCTAGTTGGAGCTGTTAGCGTCTAAAGATATTCATAAAAAAAGATTCCAGAAGTCATCATCAATATCTTCAAAGCAAAAGCAGCAGAAACAAAAATGTTTTGCTGCACAAACGTAGCTGAGTTGATTGACACCAAATTTGTTGGTGAGGTTGACCTCTGATGACCTTTGGAAATGTTATTTAATATCTTTAAAATGATAGCAGCACAAACAGGCCTGTCACAATAAATCAATCGCATGATAAACGAAAACAAGCTCCATTTGCATCATTGTTCTTTCTCCCAAAACCTGGATGATAAAAGTCTTCAGTCTGCTGTTTTTCTCTCAACTAAATCCTTTTTTTGAAGAACAATTGTTTTTACAGGCTGAATAAGTCGTTTTATTTGTTGCTCTGCTTTGTGTGTTTTTGTGATCTTTAAAATGTCTTCCAGCTCTGGTGCTGAATGCTTTAAAGAACGTAAAGTTTGTTGATCTTTAAGAATGTGCCGCTCTCCTCCTGCTGTCCTCCAGTCCCTGCTGTCCATCCGCCAGGACGACAAAGTGATCTGTCCCAGAACCAAAGAGGTGTTCAGCTTCTCTCAGGCAGAGAAGGTCTACATCATGTGATCACGTCCTCCACCATGACGACTCAGTGGAGCTGTGACCTTTCACCCCAGTAGATAACCTCCTCTTCCTCACACACAGCTGGGCTCTTCTTCTTCTTTCAGACTGTTTAGATGTGACTAGGAGTTGTTTGACCTGATCCATTCAAGCACACGGACTATCGACATTTTCATTATCTTAAAGGCCTTTACTCTGAATATTAGAGCCTAGAGGAAAAAGGACTGAGTGAAACTGTTAGTTAGATGTTTGATTTTACTACAACAAATAAAAAAGAACTTGTAAAGGATCGCTCTGAGTTTTCCTTTTTACTAACATTTTTTTTTCTTTTTTAATAAATGTGATTGGCTGCTTCGCTGGTCTCCAGCCGCTCTTCCTTTTTTACGATGGCTGAGGAACTCGTTTTGACTGAAACCTTCTGGTTTGCCCAGCAGCACATCCCATAATATATCATTACCTTGCAATAACTCCTCCGTTCAGAGGAGGCACTGTTTCAGGTGGTCCTGCTAAATTCTGGGTCATCTGTTTTTGTTGTTTTCCGATTAAATAAACTTTTTATTTAACTGATTTTCATTTTGTTCCACCTTTCTGGATTCTTTAGTTTAAATATTTGATGATGCATTCATAGGTTAAATTTTAGATCAAATCCTTCACCTTCTGTTGGCACCAACATCAGGCCTCTAATGCTTCAGTTTAACCCATGTTTTAATGCTGTTCACATGTAAACTAACTCGGTAAGAGCTGATTTAATGCAGGTTTTATTCTCCATCAGCCGATCGGCCCACATGAAATCATTCCATTTGTGTCTGTCGGTGATCTGGAAGTGTATTTGTGACGATGCCTCTGTTCTGTGTGTTTGTGTTGGTAGAATTAGAAATGGGGAGTGTTTCATGAGCTGTGTGCCTCATAAAGATCTCAATGAAACTTTGATTTCAGTCTTTATTTGAAGCGTCTCGTTTTGTCCGAACGGGTTGCTGCGGTTCTGTTGTCATGGAAATCCACCAAAGTGCTCCATCGTTTCCCGTGTGTGGTAGTTTTGGGCCAGACGATGAGAAACTGGAGGCAGATTTAAAGGAGTTCAAGGGGCAACATGATTGTCCATATGCATCATTTACATTTTATCAGCAGATTTCATGTGATAGACCAACAGAGGATAGCTTAGCAATGAGAAATAGAACAAAAATAGATGGTTTCATTTGTTTTTACATCAAAGTGTGGTTATATACATTCAGCTGCTTTTCACTCTTATACTTCTGTTTTATTTGGCCTTACAGAAAACTGTAAAGATCTATCAAAAAAATATATATTACCAATCTGATAATTATGGCCAGATTTTATATACAGAAGTGTAAATTCAGAGTTACTAAACCATGCATTACTGCATTAAAACAAATTCAAGCAGTGAATTAAATCTGTACAAACTTTCAGAAAACCCAAAAGCACCAGGTTTAATTTCTGTATGTAGCCTGTTGAAGAAATTAAATAATATTGTTCTGAATGGTTTTAGCTTTGCCCAGATTTAAATAAGATGCTTATTTTTGAGGAGGGCTGGGTCCTTCACTGTTCGTGGAAGTCGGTTGTTGAGAATGTAATCGCTTCTGCCTTCATCTGTTGGGGTGGCAGCATCAGAGCCGAGGATTCAAAAATGCTCAAACTGACAAAGAAGGCTGGTTCTGTTCTGGGGACGACTCTGGAACCTGCGGAGATGACGATGAAAGAAGGATTACAGACAACTCTGAGCTCCCTCTTCACAAGATTTTCCTCAAGGTGTCTTGAGTCAGAGGGTTCTTCAGATTTTCTGTAATACAGACTGCTACAGGAGATCGTTCTTGCCATTAGCATCAACAACTGAAGGAACTTGGGTGATTCATTTTTCTTTGGGATCAATAAGTCACTTTTGAATTAAATTTATAATGAATCATTTATTTATTTTTTAAGGTTTCTATGTTTTCTACATTGCTCGACCCCTGAGTATCACCAAAAATTGCATTTTTTTGTTAAGTGTTTTGTTATATACATTTAATCCTCTGACATTAATTTTTTGTAATGTTCTTTGTTCGAAATAAAGCTGGTTTTGGGAAGAAAAAAAGATCAGAAATTCGAGCTACTTTCTTCTTTAAACATTAAAAGGTCTGGTTGAAGAACAATATTAAAGATTGTGATAATTCTATGCAACTCATGGTTAAAAGGATATAAATTTTTAATACGTTGTCAGCATTATACGTCTTTACAAGATGTCCGTTGTCCCGCAAAGAAACCGGAAAAGGCGTTATAAATGTGACGTCACTGCTATTCGTTTATAAAAAGGTCCGCTCTTCCTCCTCCGCCATCTTGAGATCAACGCGTAGTTGAATTCAAGTAGTCCCTGCTCGCCATCTTTACTCCCTTTTTGAAAATGAGTGACCAGCTCTGTAAGCTCTTCGTCGGCGGCCTGAACGTGGACACCGACGACGATGGCCTCCGCAAGCACTTCGAGCAGTACGGGGCCCTTACCGACTGTGTGGTCGTCGTGAACAAGCAGCTGCAGCGCTCCCGCTGCTTCGGCTTTGTTACCTACTCCACGCCGGAGGAGGCCGACGCCGCCATGGCTGCTAGGCCGCACACCGTCGACGGTAACTCGGTGGAGGTAAAGCGAGCTGTGGCCAGAGAAGACGCAAACAAGCCCGAAGCTTTGGCTAAAGTGAAGAAAATTTTCATCGGTGGGCTGAAAGACGACATCGAAGAGCAGCATTTGACCGACTACTTCTCGCAGTACGGCCAGGTGGAGAAGTCTGAAGTCATCTCCGAGAAGGAGACGGGGAAGAAGAGGGGCTTCGGATTCGTGTACTTCACCGACCATGACTCGGCAGATAAGGCCGTGGTGGTGAAGTTTCACACCGTTAATGGACACAAAGTGGAGGTGAAGAAAGCCCTGACTAAACAAGAGATGCAGGCCGCGAGCAGGAACACAATGGCGCCGAGGGGCAGACCGGGCCGCGGCATGAGAGGAAATCAAAATGGCTACGGAGGCAGGGAATATGGCGGAAGCTACAACTACGGAAATGGCGGCGGTGGCGGCTACAACTGTGGCGGCTACGGAGGGTACGGTGGACCGTACGGAGGCGGCTATGGCGACCAGGGAAGCGGCTACGGTGGCGGCAACGGCTACAACGACTTTGGCAGCGGCTACGGCCAGCAGTCCTCTGGCTACGGTCCCATGAAGGGGCCGCCTTTCGGGGGCCAGCGGAGTGCGGCTCCCTACGCCAGAGGCGGCGGTGGCGGCGGATACCCCAGGGGGGGCTACGGCGGCGGCGGCTACTGAAAGGCGACACCCTGAAACAAGAATCCCCCCTCTCCCCGCCACTCGTTACTCCCAGGCATTTGGACGCAAAACTCAGTCACTAATGGGGCGTCTGCCGTGAATCCCATCCATGGCAGAGCCGCAGAGACACCCCTCCCCCACCTGAACCCCCCAAACAGGTAGGAAGGTCACTTCCCTGAACACCTGCTTAACCCGAACAGCACTTCTTGCTGTTCACCTAGGACACACAATTGAAGAATTACACGTTCAATGATCCCTTTTTTTAATGTACCCACGCCACCAGTGAGAGGTTGTCTTTAGAGTTGGATTATTATTATTTTTTTTTTATATTTGCGTTCAGTCGTTGTGTTTGGAAAAAAAATGATGTAGGATTATTTTCCTGATAAGTTCTTATTTTTTTAATATTTGCATTTTAAGCAGTTGGATTCGATTTTGTTAAATTTAGAAAAGTTTAGTGTATTTTCTTTTCAATGTGAGGATGAGAATGTTTTTCTGGTTCATAGATGTCATTCTTACTATACATATTTGTATAATTTTCCGGGTCACCAAGGAAATTCACTACTGCAGGACTCTAGTTTCCCTCCCCATATTGTACTTTAAATTCCTCTGAGCATATTGCTAGATTCAGTCTAAATACTGTTCATTTTCTCCTGTAGCAATATCTATTGTATATTGTGTACTTTCATGTGTTGAGAACAAAAACTTATTGTTAAAACATTTTGGTATGCTCATGTATGTTCATTTTAAATAAAACGTTATACCACTTAGCTTAGTTATCTTACTTGTTTAACCAGGCTTCCAGTTTATCCACAGGTTTATGAGATCATCTTAGTTACATCCTTTACTCAGGTGGGTGAAATGGATGCAGTCTACCCACAGCCAAAGCATGTAGGCTTTGTAGGGTGAGACCTTGTTCTTAACTGTGGTTTTAAGATTTGACTTATTTACTTTCATATTTACTACATGTGGACCTGAGGGCTCTGATAATTATCTTTGATTATTCCTACATTTAGGTGTTCTTACTCGTATTCCTGTAGGCTATCCCAGCCAAAATAGCCGTAGCAGTTTGTTTGTAGGCTACGTCAGGACCCTGTTGATTACCTGGGGTCGGTTGTGATAGGAGTCTGAAATATCTCTTTAGGATATCCACATCCAGCCAACTAGGTATGTAAATCAACCTGTCTTCACTCTGTGTTGGTCAAAAATGTATGGAATATATTTAAGATGGTGCACAAGTGTACCACTGTTTAATATTACCAGATTACTGCGTCTTTTTATGTAGCTAAACATAAGTAAAACTGGGGAGTTTTGTTGCTTAATTTTGGTTTTTGTGGGTGAAAGGAGACGCAGGTTTGTTCCACTGAACGGTGGAACAACTAACTGGTGTCTCCTGGAATAATCCTGCGTTGCTCTGTTTCTCATTGCTGTGTTTTCCTCCGTCTCCAGGTTGCCTCTGTAACCTGGCCTGTAGGGCTTCACCTGGAAGCTGACAGGGAACCGAGGAGGGCTGAACCTTCTTCCCCTTCAGGTGACATTACTGCAGAAAAATAATGACCACTTATGTTGGCTACTTTTAGACTGAATATTAAAGTATTCATTGCCACAAAGACACTAAATGGATGAAAAATTATACTTTTAAGCAGGGTTTTGTGTAACTTAAATGGGTGAGTTATTAAATAATTGTTGGCTTGAAATCTTATATGGGAGTGTTCTTGCAAAGCCTTTCGTTTAAATCTGAATACATAATCCAACCTAAAAGTGTTCCTGCAGTGGATCCAGTAGGATGTCTGGATTTAGAAACTAAACTGTTTTACAGACTTATATTCTCTTACTTGTAGGCTATTTTTCATGCTTGCTGGTTTCAGATCAACTGAGGATGAGGAGCTTCTGTACTGATGGCTGTATATATTTTTATGAATGCACAATAAATATTTATTTTGATATACCACAAGACTTGTTACTTTTCTATATTTTCTGGAGGTAAAGTGTCAGTTTTTAATGTGAATATTGGATGAATGTTGTAGAATCCAAAGCTGGTGAAAACGTATGCACTGCACAAAATTTTTCTAAATATACATAAATTCTTACCTGGCTGATGGCAGATGTTTACTTTCAATAAAGTAAACTTAATTTTCAATGCATTGAAGGAAAGTTCAAAATGTAAATAAAATTCTGGGAAATGTATCAAATGTTTCACTTCAGTTTATAAGCAGTTGGGATATAACTGCAGGTTATGTTTAAAAATGTTCATAAAAGGAGGGCTGTGTTTACTTAACCTTTGCAGGTCATCAAGTCTGCTAAAAATAACCTATTGGCTAAACCTTTCACATTTTCCTGATTAAATCATTGCAAATTGCAAAGTTTTTAACTTTAATGGGATATCAGTTGCTGATTAACTCAAAAGATGAATAAAGAACTTGTTTGTGCAGTTACCATTGGTTTAGTCACAATGGAGCGTCTCAAAATGACTAAGAAATTCTTGGTCATTTTGAGCTAATATTTAAACAAGTAAAATGCAAGTAGAACTTTATACCAAACTTTAATGAGTATTAGCACACTTGTATTATTTGAGTACTTCACTTAAGAACTGATCTAGTCTCAGTTAAATGTGAAATGTATTTGGTTTAGCAGTTGCGTGAAATGAAGGTCTTGGGATCAGCTCACGATAACAATCTGGCATTATGCTGATCGTTAAAGCTATCAGCTAGCAACCTCTCTGTAAAATCAGTCATTTTACAGAAATGCAACTGATTTCTGCAGTGTTTATCTAGTTTGGTTCATGTGAAGATAAATCTACAAAAACGAGCTTTACACAGGTGACATCAGATGAGGCAGATTTCAACGATCCATTTTTCAAAACATACAAGCCTCATGCAACTTTGCAGGAAACCTGAGCAACAAAATGTGAGCAGATTGACAAAAACCAGAACAGATTAGGTCAAATTAACCTAATTGACAGGGATTGTGATCAAAAACATGTTTTAGTCATCGATGACAAACAAAACTTTATTAGTGTAATTTTTGTAGTACCACATGATTTTTTGTTTTATTGCAAAAAAAGCTGATTTTAAAACTTGTGCCATAAGAAATTGCAAAACTTACACGACATTCAGAGGAAAAGAAAAAAAACATAAATAAGTTGATGTTAACCGAAGCGCACGATGTAAGAGTACAAAAGGGCAGTTTAACCGTTTCCAGACTGATGGAGGTCAATGAGTTACTGTCTAATGTTCTCATGTTTTACAGTGCTGCATTTTCACACCTTTTAGCCTACTTCATATTGTCAGACAGGCTCTGTTTGAGGGATTAAAATCATATATTATAATGAAGCAAGAAATCAAATTCAATCTCATTTTTGAATAAATACTCAAATTCTACATCTATGATCTGTTAAAATTCAATTATAATCAGTTGCTTAGTTTGCTAATGCCTTGGGCCGTCTCTGGCGACTACTCCACTGTATAAAAATGTGAATATTATAGTTAATGATTTAAGGGCCAGGATTAAATGACGTCAAAAATTGTAGAAATGATCTGAACTGAAAACATTAACCTAAAATACACAAAAAGCTAAATTAGTCGTGTTTATCTTACGAGGATTTGATGAAATCCTGCGGTGAAGCTGGATTTTTATTGTTACAATTGTCTTTGCAAGTAACCCGGATTCTTCACGTCAAGGTCAGGGTAGAAATTGGGCTAATGGCGTGTAGTTTTTAAAATAGTTTACATTTGTTTTATTATTATGGCATTAAGAAGGGGGATAAAACTACAAACAGAAACAATGATGAACAATTTTGGCTTAAATCTCAACAGAACGGAAGATTTTCAAAGCCGTGTGGGTGGTGGTTCTTTTTTTTTTAAAACTGAAGATGGACCAATCAGAGTGCGCTACGTCACACGCCCCGCCCAGACCTTGTTCATTGAAGAAGGACAGGGAAAGTCTCCATTTCCCATCCTCCAGACGAAACCCAACATGACGGACAAATTGTGCAAGCTTTTTGTTGGAGGGCTGAACGTGGAGACCACCAGCGATGGCCTCCGTGCGTATTTCGAGCAGTACGGCTCTCTGACGGACTGTGTCGTGGTTATGAACCAGCAGCTCGGAAGGTCCCGCTGCTTCGGTTTCATCACCTACTCTGCGCCCGGGGAGGCCGACGCTGCAATGGCGGCTAAGCCACATGTCGTCGAAGGCAACAACGTGGAGCTGAAGAGGGCCATAGCCCGAGAGGACGCCAACAACCCGGACATCCTCGCCAACGTCAAGAAAATCTTCGTCGGCGGAGTGAAGGACCACATCGAGGCGGAGAACCTGACCGAGTACTTCTCGCAATTTGGCGCAGTGGAGAAGTCTGAGATCATCTCCGACAAGCAGACCGGCAGGAAGAGAGGCTTCGGCTTCGTCTATTTCACGGACACCGACTCGGCCACCAAAGCGGCGTTGACCAAATACCACACCATCAACGGGAACAAGGTGGAGGTGAAGAAAGCCCTCAGCAAGCAGGAGATCACCACCGGCGGCCGCGGAGGAAGAGGCCGGGGGAGAGGAATGCAGAACTTCGGCGGCGGGAGAGGAGGATATGGAGGCGGTTATGGCGGCGGCTACGGCGGGGGTTACGGCGGGAATTACGGAAGTGGCTACGGCTACGGCGGCGGCTACAACAACGATAGCGGCGGCGGCTACGGCGGCTATGGCGGCTACAACGAGTACGACAGCCAGATGGGGGGAGGCTACAGCAACGGGGACTTCGGGGAGGGCTACGGACAGCAGCAGTCGAGCTACGGCGCGATGAAGGGGGGCAGCTACTCCTACCGGAGCGGGGCTCCGTACCGAGGCAGTGGGGGAGGCGGCGCCGGCAGAGGCGGCGGCTTCGGAGGTGGTTATTAGGCCATTGGAAAGCCGAGATGTTCATGGGGACATTAGAAACGAACTTTACATTTACAGCACCGTCACAGGTGGGGGGCTACGCGCTCTTTGTCCGGTTAAAGCGAGCCCATCACCCACTCTGAATGAATGAAACCCGCCTCCTCCACTCGGATCCCATCTGTCCTTTTTGTTCCACTCATTTTGGACTCTAAACATACCGATTGTGAATATATTTTGTTGTCGTGTATTGAATCATTTGTTTAAAAAAAAGTGAGATCTGTGTAATTCCCTTGCTTCTCAAGTCAAAAAATTGAGTTTGTCTTGCAAAACCAGTCGGATGTGACTCCTTTCTTTTGCATCATAAACTCAGGGTTTTATGGAGCTGGTGTTGGCAGCGTGAGGCTTTTTTCGAGCCTTCTGGATCTTAAAATGTGTTCCTATTGAACGTGTCACGGACTATTTTCACCTAAAATTACATCTTTTGCCGTCCGTTTCAGGCTTTTTCTTTTTTATTTTTAAGAATAAATACTGGTGAGTGTATGTGTTCATTTCATCCCTATGTTGTATTCTGCTTTTATTATTAAAAGTTTTTAATGACTTGAATCTATTTATGCTTTTCGTCCTTATTTTTTCTTTCATAAAATTGTGTTCCTAAAACTGCCACTAGGGGGCAATATACACAGGTAGAAAATGGTCATTTTTAAATTTCTCCAGCCCATTTAGTCTATAGAACATTTATTTTTTTAAGCATTAGCTGTTTTGAAGTGACGGCTAAGAAACTAAACATGGGGAATATCTAACGGTCTGGACTTAAACTGTTAATTTAAAAGCAGTAGCTGAGGTTACAGTTGAATGTTGTCTCCTGTTTCTATAATTAATTTGGGCACTTTTACTTCAAAATATTCAGCAAACTAGAGTGCTTTAAAAAAAAAACAGATGGAGAAACGACTAATTCCTGGTTTAGTCCCACTAAAATGTTGAACTGGCTCCAGTTATAGAAATTAAATTTCTTGGTAAAACTGGTCAGCAGGCTTTTCCTGAAGGTCTGGTTTTAACGGTTTTAGAAAAGTTGAAAGGTTTTCTTTAGATTGAGCTGTTCAGGAACAAGATATACAATATTATTCATGCTTTCCAGGTACAGTAAAGAGTATATTAAAATAGTTTAATTCAAATTTGAAATTAAAACCCCAAAAGTTATTGTCTTGTTAAACAGGAACATGTTGATAGTGATAGCCAGATGTTTCTTTATGAACTGACTTTAGGACAAGTCGTGCTTAGATTTTCTTTATGTTTTGTGGTAAAATGTTAATTTAAGATAAAATCTAACTTTCTAAAAACATGCCCTGTGACATCACAAAAGCCATTTAATTCTCTTGCATTTTTTCTACCTCTAATTACTTTGTCTTAAATTATTCATTTTTGGCTTATTAAGGTTAATTTCTGTTCAATCCAAACAGTTTTGCTTTCCATCTGAGAAGAGTGGAAGAAAATACCTGAAAACAGGTGAGATTAAAACTGTGCTTCTCTTTGACAGAGGCTGTGATCTGATTCTTTTATCTCAAGTTTGCAAAAATTTCAAAATGAACAATTTTAACTAAATCATAGTAATTGTGTAATTTAAAGAAAAACATGAATCTTAATTCATTTTTCTACATTTTAAGGAACATCTTGAAACATAAAATGTGGAAAGTCTTTCCAGTTGCTCTGTAGAGTTTACACTGTAAATATTTACACCTGCATGGTTGTGGTTGTCATTCCTGCCAACAATTTAGTTCATTTTGTTGAGCAAACATGCATTTTGTTCAGTAAGGAGAGAATATTTAAACTTTATACAAGGTTTTGTTAAAAGTTCTCATTATGTGACTGACAATAAAAAGAGAAGACAGATTAAAAATATTTACAGTGCACCATAGGAAAATCAGAATTATTAAATCAAACTAAGTTTATTAGCATAACACACTTCAACAGTTCAAAATGCTTTACATGATGAAAATATGAAACAGACAAACAAGAAACATTATGTTACAGTGGCATAATAAAGAAAGATAATGGAAATCTGGAAATCAAATGTAAATTAATTAAGTTCCAGTTAATTACCAGAGGAATAGAGCTACTGGAAAAAAGGGAAGTCTGACTTTTAATCCCAGAATTCTGATTATAATCTCAGAATTTTGACTTAAATCCAAATGGACATCTGGGAGCAACCAGTTTGAGTGGCAGAGATGTGAGTTGTGCCAGAGAAGAACTTCGTTTCCAGAGGAACATGTCAAGTTTATTGATATCTTATGTGGCAGATTAAACTCAGAATTCTGAAAAAAATAATCCAAATTCTAAGAAATAAGTAAGAATGATTTTTTTTTTCAGTCCTTAATTAATTAATAAGGGTGACTCTAAGCAAATAGTTTTCAGTCTCGATGTAAAGATTCCCAGAGTGTCATAATTTTTGCAGTTTTCTGGAAGAAACTTCCAGAATGCTGCTTCTTCCTGTTTGGGTGGGATTCCAATCAGTAGTTTCTAGCTGTAATAGCTGGACCACGCTGAAGCTTAGTGCCGCTGAAGGTTTCTACTAAACGGTGCGGCCTGATCACAAAGGCCCTCGTTGTTTAGCTTTTTTTTTGGCAGATTGAGTGACCCATCTTGCAAATATACGAGCTTTTGAGTGAAAAGCCGCAGCGATGTTGTCGGAGTGGCTCCTCTTGCCGGTAGACGATCTGCGCTGGATGCTCTCATGCCTGCTGTGCTGTCTGACTCCGGGAGGATGGACGGTGTGTCGTTAGGGTGAGTTGGCTCATCGCTGGGGGATTATTTAGCAAAGCTGCGTTTCACGCTGCTTCTACATCTGCTGGAGAACATTTTAGTCCACATGACCCACAAATCCACCGCCGCCGGGCCCCATGGCTCGTCTTCAGGAAGGGAACTACAGGCTAGCCGTGGCTAGCCTCGGTTAGTTTGTTAGCATCGCTGACAGTTTGCAGTTACATTTCAACCAAAGTTACCTCACTGACATCCGGAAAATGTGATATTTTGACTGCAAACAAACCTTAAACAAAGCTGTCTGAATCGTATAACCAGTTAAAATGAAGGTTTATTGTGATTATTAGCTGCTCCCATTATGTTGAAATGATAAGCGATGCTAGCCGCTAGCCAGCCTGTTACACACTGGAAACATTTTATTTCAACATTCTTACAGTTATTTTTATTAATAAATTACATTTGCTGACCTGCTTCAGGTCAACAGAACTCTTTAATCTCAAACTATAGTTAGTTGTTTGTAAAAACAATCATTAGAGCTGTAAAATGTCAGAAAAATACAGTATTTGCATCCCAGTTTTTAATATTATTATTGCAGTGAACTATTTGTGATTAAACAAACGTTTGCTATTATGTTTCATGTGTTAAAATGTTTGGCATACTCATGATAGAGGTAGTCTGTTGGCGTTACATACTTTTTGGATTAATTAAATTTTACCTACGGTTAGTGTAAATGTAGCTATGATGCTAATTAGACCCTGTAGACACTTAAGTAATGTAATGTTGCTTTTTCATAATTACAATGTTTTAAATACATAAATAGTGAAAGATCCCTTTACTGTTCTGTCCTACAAGCTTATACCCCATTTCATCACAAAAATGATTGCTTTTGGGTACATCCTCATTAATGATCCATTTAACACTATTAAATGTCATTTTGTAATCAACAGTGTTCTACTGAGCACCGCGGGTCGGACTAGAACATCTGGAGAACCAGATGTATAAGATCAACTGGGAAATAAAGGAAATGCAATAAAAATAGTTTTCAATAATTGGGATGCAAAGAAAATGAAACAATTCAGCTCTGAACTGACAAAACATGAAAATCTCTTCTTAATTAGATCAAAATTTGGCTTTTTGTTGCTTCAGACAGTTAATCAGTGTACCATTAATTTCAGAAGACGATCCATATGACTTAATGTGTCAGGATTAGCGACCAAGGCTAGTTTCATCTGTATGAACAACATAAATACAATAAATTACAGTGCAGTGCAGACAAAAAAAACTTTTTAAAAATAGTAGTAATATTGTTAAGAAGTTGATTTGAAGGATAACGAGCCGTTTGTCTGGCCTGTGTGTCTCCGCTGATCCAGACACTGCCTCTCATGTCTCACCAGTCTGGTGGCGGCGCCGGCCTCGCCGCGTCCGAACTGCGCCGCGGATTCAGAGGAGGATGCGGCGAACGGAGGGATTCACACCTTCAACCAGACTCACATGAGGAAGGCCTTCCAACTCATGAACGACCTGCGCAGGTGTGTGTCTGCAGCGAGACAGTAAACCTTTTAAACTGTAAACTTTTCAGCTTCTTCAGATCATTGTTCTTCAAAAGGTTTATAGTTTTTAAACATTTTTTGGGCAAAATTTGCAACAATATTGCTTACTTTCCAACTTGTCAGAAGAAATGAGAAGTGCATAACATTTTGCATTAACAGTTTTTCTGGCCCTTTTCTAAAGCAAAGTTGTTTTTTTTGCTTATTTGTTTTAAATATGAGAGTAAAGTTGTAATTTTATGAGAACTCAACACCACACTGTGCTAAAATGAGGAATTCTGAGGATCTTGTGAAATTGGCATTGGTTTTACAAATAATGAAATGCTTCTTAATTTGATTCTGATGTGTTAAAACATTGTTAGCTGCAGGAATTTGAAATGATTGTTTCAACATCTATTTCAAAAATGAACCAGACTGTCACAGATAACATTATCACAGCCTTTTTATTATTAAAAATATGTTTGTTTGTTGTTTTGTAATTTATGGCCATTATAGTTTAACTACTCTTTTAATATGCCTTGTCTTAATATTACGACTTTATTCTTATAGTTTTACAAAGTATCTTGGTCTGATCCTACTTTCTTTTGAACACTGCTGCCACCTAGTGACTGTAGGCTTGTTTATCAGTCAAGAATAAATAGATAAGAAGATAATTATAAAGTCCTGCTGTAAATTATGCTAAGCTAACGATGCCACGGTGACGATGTTAAGCTAACGATGCCACGGTGACGATGCTAAGCTAACGATGCCACGATATCGATGCTAAGCTAACGATGCCACGATGACGATGCTAAGCTAACGATGCCACGATGACGATGCTAAGCTGACGATGCCACGGTGACGATGCTAAGCTAACGATGCCACGGTGACGATGCTACGCTAACGATGACGATGCTAACAATCGGCCTGTCTGTCAGTAAGCAGATGCTGTGTGACGTCCAGCTGGTGGCAGGCAGCGTGGAAGTGCCTGCTCACCGGGTGGTTCTGGCAGCCTGCAGCCCGTACTTCTGTGCCATGTTCACAGGTACTGGTTCTGACCTGTTTGGGCCGGAGAGAGGCTGCTTCCAGGCGGTAAACTGTATCTGTGTGCAGGAGATATGAGCGAGAGCAAAGCACAGCAGGTGGAGATCAGAGAGGTCGACGGTCAGACGCTGAGGAAGCTTGTGGATTACATTTACACCGCAGAGATAGAGGTGACAGAGGACAACGTCCAGGTGAGTGGGAATAATCCAGATTACCACCACCTGCTTGGGGCTTCAGCTCTGGTTTTATTGAACTTTAAAAAAATATATATATTTACTCATTT